ATAGGCTGAGCTGGGGCACTGACGCATATTGACAGAGGCTCCTCTCCTTCTACTCGATGACGCTGAACGTCGATGTGTCGGGGTTAGGTGATCCCTACTGAAGAGCACGTAGTCGAGAAAAACTGGCTGCGATCCTTAGCGAGCGGGTTTTCCAGACAGTAGGTGCAGTCAAACCGCTCGTGCCCATCTGCCAGCTCTGCTCGCAGCTTGGCTACGATCTCACGCACGTGCTCCGGCCGTTGGATGCGATCCATGTTTGAAGTCGCCCGTGTATATGACCGCTTTCGTCGGCGGTATCATGAGTGCGTCGACAAACGCCTTCAGCTCGTCGGCCTGCGTGCGTCTGACGTGACTCGCGCAGGTCGCCGTGCCACGCCTGCATGTGCTACGGGCCGAGAGCACGATGGTAAGCTCGCGAGATCCCGCCGCGCGTTTTCGTGATCTCGGCGTAGACGACGCCCTTCTCGGCGACGACGTCCAACGTCGACGCGTCGCTGCTGTCGAACACGTGCTCGGCTGCTGCGCACGATCGGCCATCGCGATGCCACCATCCACTCCCGCCGTCGAGGACGAACACCAAAGGTTCTTCCGACAGTGCTTGGCCGATGATTTTCGTTCACGTACGGAACATGCCCATGGCGGCGATCAGAATTCGCGAGCGGCATTTTCCGGAAAAACAGCCGCCCATGAATAGCTCTTGGAACACCTGGCGAATATTGCTCACTTACTGCTACGTGTTAGGTGCGGTGCACATGCATGCATCATTAATGATACATGTAAAATGACAATTTGAATGGGGACAGACTGCGAAACCAGTCAACGTTGATTAGTTCGACTGAAATATAATAGTAAATGCTCAGAAGATGTCATTGACGGAGTCCCGTACCTATAATAATATGTCGCTGCGTTTTCTTACAAACTATTTTATAGAAAGGTCGAATATATTTTAAACCAGCATAAGACATGCTTCGAGTTTAGAAAATGACATTTTGAATGTTGTGTTTGTTCTTCATTTTATCTCCTACCCTATGCTTTACACTCATACAACACAACGAATATTTGCAAATAGATTTAGTAACGAAATATACATAATTGAAAAATGCCAAATAATAAAGATATAAATAAATGAAATAAAACTAAATAATAAATTGCTACAAAACAAACAAATATAAGCAAATGGTAAACAAACTAAACAACGTAGCATAAATTAATTCCATTGGGTTCTTTCTAGACCGTATCATGCCATGCCCGTAGCCTAAACTATCATGCCTAGTTGGTAAAATTCTAAACTTTAAATATTTACTACACTCAGTCTTCGAATAATCCGGCACAATTCTTGATCTTAATTACTACGTCGCCGAAAAAAAAAAAAAAAAAAATCACCTCATCACCGGCGCATTGTACGGCATTGCGCATATACGTTCCGTGTCTGCTGTAACGGCACTATTCATTGAGCTAATGTTTAAGCCTGATGACTCGCACAGATGTTACAGAAGTGAATAATAATAGATTATTATAAAATATATATCTATATTATATTATTACTCTTGATCATTTAGTCGCAACAAACTGCCAACTGTGGGAATACGGTGTGCGATGTGCCTACGTGCTACGTTCTACGTGTCAACTGCACGTGCACTGTAAACGCGCCAACGTGAAATACCCTTTTCTCAGAATTGAATTAAAAAACACATATTGTATTATTCTTTCCTAATCATTGATCTATAATACTATACGGCATGACATCGAGTTCTGGAAGTATGTTCCACATGCGCATGCGTGAATTCGACACGTGCGCTCTGCTGACCGCTGTGAGAGACCAAATATACGGGAGCTCGTATACGTTGTATCGTCTGACGAACCGTCAGTGTGTGAGCTGGGCCGTCCACCGTTTAACTGCACCATCTGAATCGTACCATTGACAGAGCCATTGCTACCGAAGCCAAGCACTTATCTCCGGCGCCGCCTCTTTGCCTTCGCCACGAACCTCCATCTTGTAGGCGGTGCAGTCGTTTGGCTCTGACCAACAGAACGTTCTACTCCTACAATAACCAGCAAAGAAGTTGAATCTGCATTATATTAGGGCGTTTATGGAAACGGTTCATAGGAATCTGCACAGCTATGCATACTGATGTTGGGTGGCGGTCAGCGTAAGTTTTAATGAGAAATAGAAAGTAAATAAATTCGATAAATGTGTATTATTTCCAGATCAATTAAATGATAAATAAATATAAATATTACTCGTATAAACTAATAAATATTAATTTTTAAGATTTGATTATAATATATTTACGTATATATATATATATACATATATTATATTATATTAAAATTATTAGCTGCAGCTCATATCCGTAAGCTATGTAGCCGGTGACTATGTGGCCAGACTATGTGACTATAATTAAGTGGCTATGTGGCTAAGTGGTGAGACTATGTGGCGACGCGGTTGGATTGTAGGCCATCTTCTGTTGACAGCAGCGCGGTTCGTATACGTTCACTGCACTACGTGATGCGACAGCATCTACCTAACCAAACTTGGGGACGGCGCGCGGAGAGAACCCTGTAATCCGTCTCCAGACAATAGTCGCCGTGCCTCTGTGACGTCACGCAGCATATTCCTGGCTGGCTACTGTCAATTAGAAGTGGTTCTGTTATGGCGGCAGAATAGATCCATATCGGCAGCCTATCCTGCAATAAACCGAAGTAACATTTAGTAACTATTTGAGTCGGAACTGGTGGGTACCGTGTTTGTTGCAGGGTGGTTTGGCCAAAGGTGTTGCTATACTAGAGATACAAACATTATATTCCTAGAATTCACTTATGGTAGTCATTGCGTACACAAGCATGTGTATATATATACTAGCATGGATACATGAAGTATCTATTGGTGTATGTGCATGCATGCGTGTATGGCAAGTATTTTGTATCATAATTCGAAAAACCAAGTTTCCTCGCACGAAACCAGGTTTCGTGCTCACAAAACCTAGTTTCTTGCTCAAGAAACCAGGTTTCTTGCCATGAAACTACGTTTCATGGCATGAAACCTGGTTTCTAGCCCTATAACCGCAGTTATAGCTAGAATCTTAGTTTTCTGAGCAAGAAACTAGGTTTCAGCAAGAAACCCACTTTCAACCGCGCCATTTGTATCATAATTCGAAAAACCATAGTTTCGAGCGACGAAACCAGGTTTCTTGCTCACAAAACTAGGTTTCTTGTCATGAAACTAGGTTTCAGGGCCGTACGCAGCAGGGGGGCAGCAGGGGCAGTTGCCCCCCTAGATATTTTCAGAGTATGCCTTTTAATAGGACCAATACTGTACACTTTTAGAAATAAAATAGAAATGTGACAAAAGGTTATCTTAAATCATCAAAGAAATATTACACTTTAAATAAAGAAATGAGAAATTGCGAAACGTTAGGGCACAGGGGGCATGGGGAGTACCTTTGCCCCCCTACAAAAAAATTCCTGCGTACGGCCTTGCTAGGTTTCATGGCATGAAACCTGGTTTCTAGCCTTATAACCGCAGTTATAGCTGGAATCTTAGTTTCTTGAGCAAGAAACTAGGTTTTGGGAGCAAGAACCTAGGTTTCAGCAAGAAACCCACTTTCAACCGCGCCATTTGTATCATAATTCGAGAAACTATATTTTCGAGCAACGAATCCAGGTTTCGTGCTTACAAAACCAGGTTTCTTGCCATGGTTTCATGGCATGAAACCTGGTTTCTAGCCATATAACCGCAGTTATAGCTGGAATCTTAGTTTCCTGAGCAAAAAACTAGGTTTCAGCAAGAAACCCACTTTCAACCGCGCTATTTGTATCATAATTCGAAAAACCATAGTTTCGAGCGACGAAACCAGGTTTCTTGCTCACAAAACCAGGTTTCTTGTCATGAAACTAGGTTTCATGGCATGAAACCTGGTTTCTAGCCCTGTAATCGCAGTTATAGCTGGAATCTTAGTTTCTTGAGCCAGAAACTAGGTTTTGGGAGCAAGAACCTAGGTTTCAGCAAGAACCTCACTTTCAACCGCGCCATTTGTATCATAATTCGAGAAACCATAGTTTCGAGCGACGAAACCTAGTTTCGTCGTTGCTAAGGCCCGTATCTAGGATTCGTAATCCCGAGCGCGACGTCAGCGTAGTTCAGCCACTCGGGGTCACTGCTCAGTAAATACTATAGAAATAACATACTAGTTAGGCTAATTAATTAAATATTGTATAAATAAATTAAATATGCTGTGCTATTAAATGTATGAGAGTGATTCAAATGAGAAGATGTTTGCCGTGCTTAGTCAATATAAGAAAACAGAAATCTCCCGCACTATATTGCCATGACTCGGTAGAGGCGCTAGTTAAAATCACGGTACACCGTTAGTTTGTTTTCCCATTTTGACGTTGCAAATAGGAAATGGGTTTCTGACCTATTTCCTATTTTTTAAATGAAAATAGAAAATAGGAAATGGGTTTCTGATCCGTTTCCTATTTTAAAAGTCTAAATAGGAAATGGGAAAACGAAATAGCTAGCCTACAGTCTCTAATAGCTTGCCCCACATATATTAACCGATATGAATATAATTATCCTAAATATCAGTTTGTTAACTATCTCTGTGCCTACAGATTTCATTTATTTATGTACCTTTATTATAGTAAATAATATTTAGTGTGAATTATTAAGTTTTCACATTATAATTAGTAATGTTGTCATAGTGAATTGAATTCATCATGATATGATGTGACTCACCCATTCACTGCAATAAATTTAATACTTTAACAATATTTTGACCCTAATTTCTCTACTCTATTCAAAAGACCCCCATCTTAAGAATGCCATTGACTGACCTGATGTATAATGATAAACCACTTGATGTATTTTGATATTATATGAAATTAATGTAACTTATATTTTGTCAAAGGTATCATAATTATACTGTTTTGATGCATTTACAGTAACAATAAAATGCGTATGCACGTACTCATGCAGTTTGTTGTTTATTGTCATGTAGGAGCTGACACGCTTATCTACCTTGCATTGCTGCCACCCAACGTCAATTCACCTATCGGAGAGTTTGTGGAGAATAGGAAAATTAGTGATTGGGTATGTGAAAAAATCTATATAGTTTACTCATTTCTCTTAATTACAATATGGCCATAGAGTATAGAGTTAATTGGCTTTATGTAGTTATTTCCATTATTTTTGAACATCCTTTCTTGCAGTACAGACGCAAGGTTAACTAAACTACTACAGCTTTCATAAATATCAAGACATAATCACATATCTCTGGAAAGTCTATTCTTCGTGCATGCAGCATAGCAGCACTACTAGTTCACTTTAGCCAGCTAGGTTACGTCTTAGCTATTAGAGTGGCGACCGTGTCACAAAAGGCAAGTTCTCTGGTGATGGTCAGCCGAATTGTAATATTTGATTACCTGGGTTTCTCGAGGAATGTCATCTTATCAACTGCCTGTCATTTGACAGACATCCTTCACTAAGTTCAAGCCTTATAAGAGCGATACAATGTTTTAGTAATAATTGTGTATATTTTTTGTATTGTATTTATGTAGTGTTTGAAAACCTAAACTACTGAATTTCCTGAAACATGTCTATTCTCTTACTAGCTTTACAAATAATTCCCCTGCATTCATAGATGCCGCGGATCTGTATTATCTCGTATATGTAGCTTACGCTACCTTAGCTTGCGTTATAAGTTATCTGGTTTCGCCGCTAATTGCGATTATCAGTGCAGCGTCAAGCGCCGTGTTACGTTGTTTAACTAACGCACTTAGACTAACTATTAAAGAATAACGCGTCTTTCTTCGCGTAGACCCTAGGTTGACTTCCAAGGGCTGTCTCCCTCGTAGTCGCCTCCTGGCTCTACCGACGCTGAAATCCCGTGCTTCTTTCCTTCCCGTTTTATTCCCTGTACCCGTAGTTCTACCTACCTGAAAACCCGTGCTCCTATTCCCTCTTCTATCACCCCGTGACCTAATATGCTTTCTTCTTCTCCTTCTTTCTCTTCTTCTTCCTACCTAAAACCGACACCTAAAAAAATAACACTCTCGTGCTACGGTTCGCGCGTCTTATATACCTAGCTGGCCAACGCCCCCTACGTGCCGTTGTTAAATACGCGTCGTCAAAACACTAATCCCCACGCAGATTCCGTGGCTGGTGCGATAGTGTTCCCTGCTGACACAACTCGTTTCTAAGTAAATATTCCTCTCTTCCACAACTTAGACTATTCATTCTATTCAAATCTCCTCGTATATTATGCTGATTAATAGTACATAAACGCCGTTGATTATCATACTCTATATATTGCGTGTTCGTTTACATTCCTTGTTTTCCCTAGACCCCCTCCGTATGTATGATCCAAGATGGCTGCTCCCAGGTGTTGATCGTTATGTGCTGTCTATTTTATCCGGTCTTTAGTCAATATAGATTTATTCTATCTATACTGCCGAGTTCAAACTATCCATCCTGATCTAGTCTACTGCTCATCGTGAGTTACACCCCCCTCGAAATCTCTACACTACTGTATAGGGCCTACCAGTGCGTAGTTAGGGGGGACCAAAGGGGCCATGGCCCCTGTCTGATTCGAAAGTTTAAAAAAATGAGAAAATAAGAATTGTTCTACTAAAAAGGAGAATTATCGTAGTCAGAATGAAGGCTGTACATGTACGCCAAAAGTGCCTCAAATACCATCTCTTGCTATCTACATTTTCACAATTTTCTGGGGGAGGACCCGCCTATACCCTCCGCCTCTTTCGTCTCCTCCTCTCCCGCATTGGAATGCCTGGCATTCCGCCACTGAACAGTTGCCTTAACCTTCGGAAGGGCAGAGCAACAACGAACAAAAAATTTCGCCTCTTTGCATTAGCGCCCATTAACAAAGACTGCAGAGGTGAGAGCGTGCGGAGGCGTAGGGCTGAGAGAGGGAGGCGGAGAACCATTGAAAATATTTAATTGTCATCCACTATTTTGCGCCAGCTCGCTTGTTTATTGGCCCCCTCTGTTAAAAAAAATGGCTACGCCACTGGCGGCCTAATATTGCGCTTACAAGCAAAAAGAAGAAATAAGTTAATATACTGCACACGTGCCATCTAGCAACCAAGAAGAAAAAGAAGAAGTTGATAAACTGTATACTGCCTTGGAAGCAAGAGAAGAAAGAAGTTAATATATAGTACTGCATACTGCCATACTGCATTAGAGCAAGAGAAGAAAGAACATAAGTCGGAAACGTGGCGATTTATAACCGGCAATCTGATAATCATGCCTCACCTATATGATTGACGGCGTTTAGTCATTGACTTGTGTATTTAGATTAGCTTTATTAATGCTATGTAGGTGTTTAATTATTGCTACAATAAGTTACAGTCTTTGCCAGTGTGATTTCCTTGTGATTTCTATTTGCTGCGGCTCACTGCGATGCTTGCTGGTTGTTAGTCGAATGTCACTCCTTCAGATACAACTATAGATGCTTAGGGCGCCATGTCACAGCCAGAGCTACGCTCATCACGATCGCCGCTCGTCCTAGAAAAAATTGGCCCGAGCGTGGTGAGCGTGTTGAGAGCGTGGCATTGCGGCCCCAGCCGGGCCGCGAAAATTTTTTTTCCCAAAGCGGTGATTAACCACAGACTAACGGCATACACGCACTGACACTTCGTATACCGCTGGCTTGCTAACGCGTTTCGATCGGTGCGTGCCCTGGCGAACGTGTAGCGGTCTAACTAGCTCGAAATGGCCTGCGGGGTTGTCCTATATTCAACGCCAGTACGTGGCAGATTACGGTACGCATATAGTTTGCTAATATATGTGACCTGAATCGTGCCGTCAATAAACTCAATATTGCACGAGACTATGCTAAGACATGTGTCTATATGGTAGCTTAGAATTTTAGAGAATTATAATCATCTGTAGATTCACTTGCGCGCACGCATATAATTTTGCTAATATATTCGACTAATCGTGCGTCAATAAACTCAATACTTCACAGAGAGTATGCGGGTTCGTGTCTATATTCAAGCCGGACAGCGGAATCATTTGCATATAGATATTCTAGTATAGTTCCCACAGATATAGGTGTTTTCAAGTTTCCCAAGAGCGCATGATAGGTACTAGAGATTGTATGCACGTGTAGCCATGTTATAGTACGTTTGCAAATATATAAATTCGTGTAGGCACGGCAATGACAGATTGCAAGTGACTCGCTGACCTGCGTCCGGGTGCACACGAACAGAACTGCTACTTATTGCATTTTTAATTATATATGTAATCATAATATTCAATGTAAAGCTAATACAATATACAATCTTGTGAAGCCGTAAGTTACGGCGAAAACACTACTTGGTTCGGTTGATCTGTGTAATTCTGCTGCGCCTTTGGTGTATGTGAAAAATACCAGTTAAAAACGATATGCCAATTTGTAAAAAATAATTTACACCACATCACATGACAGCATGTAGATGGTCGAGCTACATAGAGCTTCGAAGTGGATCTGGCAACATAACGAAGAGCCGACAATGACGGCGTTAAAATGTCAGCCAATGCAAATATGCTGCTAATCTTGAGAGAATTCATTTTGACGGCATCTCATTTATGTGTGCCAGCTGACAGCGTTTAAAATCACTGCTGCTCGAAATGTGATACTGAATGCATGCTATTAAAAATATAACTATTATTAGTATGGGAAATTAGTAAAAATACATGCTTTCTCTGCTTCTCGTCGCTGCGTGACTCAGCTGGGCGTTATACATGTATAACTAAAAGGCTTGATTTCATGAAAATATACAAGAACAGGAATATACGGTTGAGAAATAGTTTCACTCGCTGCGGCACTGAAGTATCACTTATCACTTATTGCTTATGGTAATATCAAAACTTAAACCAAACAC